TGGGACAGCACGATCAGCAGTACTAGTCAAATTAGCAATTCGATACAACCTGTAAGAAAGATTTATTAATATTGTAATAAATAATATTTTACAATAATTAAAATACTATAAACTAAATATAAAACTATTTGAACAAAACATTAGTCAATTTACATGAATACAAATCAAGGGGCAAGAAACCATAGGGAGGCAAATGCAGGGGCCTAAGGGACCAGTGTTCGCAAGTATAGACCCAGTGTTCGCAAGTATAGACCCAGTGTTCGCAAGTATAGACCCAGTGTTCGCAAGTATAAGCCGGGGTTCGCAAGTATAAGCCGGGGTTCGCAAGTATAGGCCGGGGTTCGCAAGTATAGGCCGGGGTTCGCAAGTATAGGCCGGGGTTCGCAAGTATGGTCCGGGGGTTCGCAAGTATAGGCCGGGGTTCGCAAGTATAGGCCCGGGGTTCGCAAGTATAGGCCGGGGTTCGCAAGTATAGACCGGGGTTCGCAAGTATAGACCGGGGTTCACAAGTATAGAACCGGGGTTCACAAGTATAGACCGGGGTTCACAAGTACAGACCAGGGTTCACAAGTATAGACCACGGGGTATAAGCAGAGAACAGGCTGCAGGCCATTCGAGCAAGATATTCGAGTAGGATGAACCAGAGTACAAATCATTCAAGAGAAAAGTAAAAGGGAAGCCTAAAGTTATGTTAAATATGCTTAGCAAATAGATCAATAAATTAGTATATATACATATTAAATATAAAATATTCTAATACTTATATTTGTTTGCACAACAAATGTTTTAATATCCAAAGTGCTGTATCCGCAGTCTTCACAATGGAGCCACTCGGTTGCTGTTCACTTCACATTGTCTTCATCTATCGGAACTGACGTTTGACATTCTTTTATTATGCCTATAACATTAAAATAGTTTTAAATATTTATGCAATTTAAAACAACACATTGAACTAGATACAAAAATGTATTTATTTATTAATTAGATGAATATATTATAAGTATTAAAGTCATCCTTGATTGAACGCATAAATGAATTTTGCACTTTCCAATGCTAACACATCAGCATGTTTTATCTTGTCTAGGGACTCCGTTGTTAATGTTTGTGACAGCAAGATAGGTCCAATGCAGGCAGGTGTGTGTCATTGTTTGCCCTGTGAACAAAATTACCCAATTAATAGTAATTCAGTCTACTTTATAATACATTATAAAAAGTAACTCACCAAGAGTTTGTTTTCTGAGTTTCACTAAGTCTTCCTAAGTAAACTGCACCGTGCAAAATTTATAAGAATTATTATTCCAACTTATGCAACTTAAGCGACGAAGGCAGGAGGTTCAGTGGGGGAGAATTGAATCTGGAACAGAAAGCAAAAGGTTAGAATACATTTTGATTACTACTATTAATAAATGTTATTATTAATATTGATTATCATGATCACTGATTACATGAATCATGGACAAAGTGAAACTACTGACAATGGTGGTCTTCAATTGTCAAGACATGGGAAAACGAAGACTGTAGTATCATCGAAATCAGGGGGCACCATGAGTTATCAATTATCAACAAGAAAGATCATCAAGATACAACAAGCAATCACATTCAAAGATACATTGGAGGACAAGACCCTGAGAATTGCACAAAGCAACCAAGACGCGGTGGCAAACATTATGGGCATTAAAATAAGGCTATAGTCAAAACAAGCAAACCGGGGAGGCAAAAATGCAGGTCATTCGATAAGGCATTGGAGAACCAGATAACCAAGTGGAGGAGGCAAACCTTCTGGGCATTTAATAAGGCATTGGAGGACAAAGACGAGGAGGCAAAAAACAGGCAATTGGACAAAGCAACCAAGACGGGAGGCAAAAAGCAGGCAATTGGACAAAGCAACCAAGACAGGAGGCAAACATAATGGGCAATAAAATAAGGCTCTAGACAAAGCAACCAAAATGGGGAGGCAAGTATTCTGGGCATTGGTCAAGGCAACAAAATCGGGGAGGCAAAAATCCTGGGCATTCAAAGGTGCAATCAAGGCAATCGACTTTCTCTTCACAATGAAGTCCATTGATGTCAGTCACTTCACACTGTTTTGCACTGTCGCATGAACTTATGAAGTTTCTCCGGAGCATGAATACTTGAAATGGTCCCTGATGAAGAGGTCCCTGAAAAAAAAATACATGTTAGCGTTCCAAACATTGTTGCTATAGACAGATACATACTGTATGATTAGAGAGAGTAGTTCCTGACGAAGAGGTTGATATGGTGTCTTTTTGATGCGTTGATGGTGGAATTGGAAGGATCTGTAAAAAAAAATACATGTTAGCAATGCAAACATTATTATTGTTATAGGCAGATACATACTGTATTATTAGAGAGAGAAGTCCCTGATGAAGAGGTTGATGTGGTGTCTATTTGGTGCGTTGATAGTGGAATTGGAAGAATCTGAAAAAAGAATACATGTTAGCAATGCAGACATCTTGTTCTTATAGACAGATACATACTGTATTATTAGAGAGAGAAGTCCCTGATGAAGAGGTTGATGTGTCTATTTGGTTCATTGATAGTGGAATTGGAAGAATCTGAAAAAAGAATACATGTTAGCGATGCAGACATTTTTGTTGTTATAGACAGATACATACTGAATTATTAGAGAGAGAAGTCCCTGACAAAGGGGTCGATGTGGTGTCAATTCGGTGGAATGATGTTGGAATTGGAAGAATCTGAAATAAGAAAATACATGTTAGCGTTCCAAATATTGTTGTTATAGACAGATACATACTGTATTATTAGAGGTCGATGTGGTGTCTATTCAATGGAATTGGAAGAATCTGAAAAAAAATACATGTTAGCAATACAGACATCATTGTTCTTATAGACAGATACATACTGTATTATTAGAGAGAGAAGTCCCTGATGAAGAAGTTGATGTGGTGTCTATTTGGTGCGTTGATAGTGGAATTGGAAGAATCTGAAAAAAGAATACATGTTAGCAATGCAGACATTATTATTGTTATAGGCAGATACATACTGTATTATTAGAGAGAGAAGTCCCTGATGAAGAGGTTGATGTGGTGTCTATTTGGTGCGTTGATAGTGGAATTGGAAGAATCTGAAAAAAGAATACATGTTAGCAATGCAGACATTATTATTGTTATAGGCAGATACATACTGTATTATTAGAGGTCGATGTGGTGTCTATTCGGTGCGTTGATGGAGTTGGAAGAATCTGAAAAAAAATACATGTTAGCAATGCAGACATCATTGTTCTTATAGACAGATACATACTGTATTATTAGAGAGAGAAGTCCCTGATGAAGAGGTTGATGTGGTGTCTATTTGGTGCGTTCGTAGTGGAATTCGAAGAATCTGAAAAAAGAATACATGTTAGTGATGCAGACATTTTTGTTGTTATAGACGGATACATACTGAATTATTAGAGAGAGAAGTCCCTGACGAAGGGGTTGATGTGGTGTCTATTTGGTGCGTTGATAGTGGAATTGGAAGAATCTGAAAAAAGAATACATGTTAGCAATGCAGACATTATTATTGTTATAGGCAGATACATACTGTATTATTAGAGGTTGATGTGGTGTCTATTTGGTGCGTTGACAGTGGAATTAGAAGAATCTGAAAAAAGCATACATGTTAGCAATGCAGACATTATTATTGTTATAGGCAGATACATACTGTATTATTAGAGAGAGAAGTCCCTGATGAAGAGGTTGATGTGGTGTCTATTTGGTGCGTTGATAGTGGAATTGGAAGAATCTGAAAAAAGAATACATGTTAGCAATGCAGACATTATTATTGTTATAGGCAGATACATACTGTATTATTAGAGGTTGATGTGGTGTCTATTTGGTGCGTTGACAGTGGAATTAGAAGAATCTGAAAAAAGCATACATGTTAGCAATGCAGACATTATTATTGTTATAGGCAGATACATACTGTATTATTAGAGAGAGAAGTCCCTGATGAAGAGGTTGATGTGGTGTCTATTTGGTGCGTTGATAGTGGAATTGGAAGAATCTGAAAAAAGAATACATGTTAGCAATGCAGACATTATTATTGTTATAGGCAGATACATACTGTATTATTAGAGGTCGATGTGGTGTCTATTCGGTGCGTTGATGGAGTTGGAAGAATCTGAAAAAAATACATGTTAGCAATGCAGACATCATTGTTCTTATAGACAGATACATACTGTATTATTAGAGAGAGAAGTCCCTGATGAAGAGGTTGATGTGGTGTCTATTTGGTGCGTTGGTAGTGGAATTGGAAGAATCTGAAAAAAGAATACATGTTAGTGATGCAGACATTTTTGTTGTTATAGACAGATACATACTGAATTATTAGAGAGAGAAGTCCCTGACGAAGGGGTTGATGTGGTGTCTATTTGGTGCGTTGATAGTGGAATTGGAAGAATCTGAAAAAAGAATACATGTTAGCAATGCAGACATTATTATTGTTATAGGCAGATACATACTGTATTATTAGAGGTCGATGTGGTGTCCATTGGGTGCGTTGATGGAATTGGAAGAATCTGAAAAAAAAATACATGTTAGCAATGCAGACATCATTGTTCTTATAGACAGATACATACTGTATTATTAGAGAGAGAAGTCCCTGATGAAGAGGCTGATGTGTCTATTTGGTGCGTTGATAGTGGAATTGGAAGAATCTGAAAAAAGAATACATGTTAGCGACGCAGACATTTTTGTTGTTATAGACAGATACATACTGTATTATTAGAGAGAGAAGTCCCTGATGAAGAGGTTGATCTGGTGTCTATTTGGTGTGTTGATAGTGGAATTGGAAAAATCTGAAAAAAGAATACATGTTAGCAATGCAGACATCTTGTTCTTATAGACAGATACATACTGTATTATTAGAGAGTATCTATTTGGTGCGTTGATAGTGGAATTGGAAGAATCTGAAAAAAAAATACATGTTAGCGACGCAGACATTTTTGTTGTTATAGACAGATACATACTGTATGATTAGAGAGTAGTTCCTGACGAAGAGGTTGATATGGTGTCTATTTGATGCGTTGATGGTGGAATTGGAAGAATCTGAAAAAAGAATACATGTTAGCAATGCAAACATTATTATTGTTATAGGCAGATACATACTGTATTATTAGAGAGAGAAGTCCCTGATGAAGAGGTTGATGTGGTGTCTATTTGGTGCGTTGATAGTGGAATTGGAAGAATCTGAAAAAAGAATACATGTTAGCAATGCAGACATCTTGTTCTTATAGACAGATACATACTGTATTATTAGAGAGAGAAGTCCCTGATGAAGAGGTTGATGTGTCTATTTGGTTCATTGATAGTGGAATTGGAAGAATCTGAAAAAAGAATACATGTTAGCGATGCAGACATTTTTGTTGTTATAGACAGATACATACTGAATTATTAGAGAGAGAAGTCCCTGACAAAGGGGTCGATGTGGTGTCAATTCGGTGGAATGATGTTGGAATTGGAAGAATCTGAAATAAGAAAATACATGTTAGCGTTCCAAATATTGTTGTTATAGACAGATACATACTGTATTATTAGAGGTCGATGTGGTGTCTATTCAATGGAATTGGAAGAATCTGAAAAAAAATACATGTTAGCAATACAGACATCATTGTTCTTATAGACAGATACATACTGTATTATTAGAGAGAGAAGTCCCTGATGAAGAAGTTGATGTGGTGTCTATTTGGTGCGTTGATAGTGGAATTGGAAGAATCTGAAAAAAGAATACATGTTAGCAATGCAGACATTATTATTGTTATAGGCAGATACATACTGTATTATTAGAGAGAGAAGTCCCTGATGAAGAGGTTGATGTGGTGTCTATTTGGTGCGTTGATAGTGGAATTGGAAGAATCTGAAAAAAGAATACATGTTAGCAATGCAGACATTATTATTGTTATAGGCAGATACATACAGTATTATTAGAGGTCGATGTTGTGTCTATTCGGTGCGTTGATGTTGGAATTGGAAGAATCTGAAAAAAAAAAATACATGTTAGCGTTCCAAATATTGTTGTTATAGACAGATACATACTGTATTATTAGAGGTCGATGTGGTGTCTATTCGGTGCGTTGATGGTGGAATTGAAAAAATCTGAAAAAAAAAATACATGTTAGCGATGCAGACATTTTTGTTGTTATAGACAGATACATACTGTATGATTAGAGATAGAGGTCCATGATGAAGAGGTATACGTGGTCTTTACTCAGTACATTGATGGTTGAATTGAAAGGATCTAAAAAAAAAAATACATGTTAGCAATGTAGGCATTGCTATTGTTATATAGAAAGATACATACCCAATTATTAGTCAAAGACAGGTTCCTGATAAAGGTGTATTATGGGCAATGCACAAGGCAAACATTCTGTGTATTCGACACGGTATGCAAGAGGTGGAGGCAAACATTCTAGGCATGGGACATGGCAACCAAGAGGGGGAAGCAAACATTCCGGGCATTGGACAAGGCAACAAAGACGAAGAGGCAAAGACCTTTGGATTCATATAAGGCTCATGACAAGGCAACCAAGACAATAAGACAACATTCTGGGCATTGGACACGGTAACCAAGCGAGAGGAAGCAAACAATCTAGGCATCGAACAAGGCAAACATTCTGGGTATTGGACACGGCAATCAAGACTGGGAATCAAACATTCTGGGCATTGTACAACGCAACAAGGACGGAGAGGCTAGAACCTTAGGATTCAAATAAGGCAACCCAAACGGTAAGAAATTTGATAAGGTAACCAAGCAGGGGAGGCAAACATTCTGGGCAATCAAGCAATCTGGGTATTGGACAAGGCAACCAAGAGGGAGAGGCAAACATTCTGGGCAATAACCAAGGTAACCAAGCAGGGGAAGCAAACGTTCTGGGCAATCAAGCAATCTGGGTATTGGACAAGGCAACCAAGAGGGAGAGGCAAACATTCTGGGCAATCAAAATCAGGACGGCAACAAAGCAAGACATAGCAAAATTTACATTAAACTCATTCAAATAAGGAGGGATTATTAATTCATTCATGAGCAAGACATTCAAACCTGAGCCTTTTTCGTACTGTCTGTCTCCACAGTATTCAAAATTCCCATTAATGTTAGTCACTTCACTTTGTCTTGCACAGTCGGATGAACTTCTACACAGATTATTTGTATAAACAAGTTTTCAAGTCAATCCTGAAGCTTCTCCGGGACATTAACAGTTGAATTGTAAAGATCTGAAAAAAAAAACGTGTTAGTAATTCAAGCATTGTTACTTTTACATAGACGCATACTTGAAAATATAAATGTATACAAACAAAGCAGAAGATATATATATATACATTCCGGCAACTCTGCCATAGCATGAATGTTCTCTTTACAATTTAGATCATCATTATTATTGTGTCATTGTCAGGCTTTATGTAATAGCTGCAGCGCTTGATACAATTAACCTGAAAATAAAAAGTTAAATTAATGTGTGGATTTAATGTGCTTTGAGTGTAATAAAATTGCGTTATCTTAAACGATTCACACAATTTAACTTTAGCTAATATATACTATCACTAGCATCGGCAATAAAATATAAAATATATAAGAAAAAATAATCGTATGTCATCTTGTGTGAAATCACTATTCTCTAATCAATTCGTGCCAAATGCGAATCGTCGTTTGTCGCTGGCGATGACGCTACTAATTTTGCCGCCAATTCAAAATGTCATTGACAATTGTATATGACAACGCGATGATGGCGTAAATTCGAATCTGTAAAAGTTATTCTAACTCCAAAATGATATTCAAAATCTAATCAATATTAAAAAAAATAAAAACATTGCACAATTTGCAATTTGTTGCACAATGTAACAATAATGTTTAAGAACTTGCACTGGTTTCAAACGTATTTATCGATTGCAAATAGCAAGAACGCGCAGTGTTATGTCGCATTGCGTAATTTGAAATGTTAATAAAACTGCATCTACGATCATTTAATTAACTAACAATAATAATTAAACAAGAACCACTAAGCTGTCGCACACTATTCAATTAACATACACAACAAAAATCACTATATCACTGCCTTGAAATATTAAAATACAATTATTTACCGAGGAATTTTCCTCCTTCAGCATCTTTATCTACTTTTTCGATGTTCACTCCATGACGGCCGACAAGAGAAAGGACAGAATCCTTGTTTTCGCGCCAGTGGTGCGGCTGCAGCGCCATCTATCTGCGCGTCACATGAAACAGACTTTTGACAGTTAGTTCGTCGGTCAATGACAGCCGAGCGGTGGCGGTAGCGCTGGCGGTGGCGTCAAAATCAAACTGAATTTAACGAATGATTAAATTCAAAACGACCAGCAAATATATTTATCAGAATCTTCCAGTTTTTGGGCTGCGAGTCAGCGTGTCAAACAAAGCTTAATACTGAGGTCCATAAACTATTTCAGAGAAAGAAATAGAAAATCGCTGCTAGTTTAATAATTGAATTATTAATAATTACACAGTATGCTTCAAATCGTCTTGAAAATGTAGTAAATAGTTCAAAAAAGTTGTATGTTGTGTGAAAATGGTTTAAATAGTCTTGAAAATGTTGTAAATAAATCAAAAATGTTGTAGGTTATCTGAAAGTGCTTTAAATCGTCTTGAAAATGTTGTAAATAGATAAAAAATGTTGTAGGTTGTCTGATAATGCTTCAAATCGTCCTGAAAATGTTGTCAAATGCCACGACATTTGTTGATTAAATATTGCCAATGCCTTGAAAATGTTGTGAATGGATATACAAAAAATGTTGTAAGTTGTATGATAATGCTTTAAATCATTTAAAAAATGTTGGCAAATCGTCCTGAAGATTGTCTGAAAATTTTGTAGATAGTTCAATTCAATAAATATAAATATAAACATACATACACATACACATACATGAATCGACATAACAACGTACTACTTGACAATCCACCTAAGTAATTAATATATTTCTCTATATAGACAAAACTTTTAGTCTTTGATAGAACACCAACTCATTCAACAGAATTCTTTACCGCGATCAAATTATGTATCGATTACCATCAATGTTGTCTCAGTTGCATTATGTATGAACTATATTTTAAAATAATTTCATAAACATCATTGGAAATCTTGAGTTTAGTACTACGTTTTTAAAGTTAAGTCCGGTATATATATTTTATATATAATGGTCACAACATTCGAATAGATTTGTTTCAAAGACCTGTAATAATATAGAGCATGTAATAATTTAAAATAATTAGTACAAAATAATTAGTTCACAATCATGAAAGAGAAGGAGAACTTTCACCATGTATGTATAAATTTCTTGACTATCCTTAAATTCAACATCGAGATAGACATTATTATTGAAGACTCATAGACTACATAAAAAAAATATTTTCAACTACCGACTAGTTATATATATATATATATATATATATATATATATAATGTTTAAAATCTTTTTGCCTCATGTCAAGCACAAAAAACAAGTATTTCCACTTCATCGTGCTCTGATATAACTTTTTTAGAAAATATCGAACAACAGAACTAAATTTATCACTCCGATATAATTTTCAACATAGGTCAATTGATTTCAATCGAAACCCTTTCAATAATCAACAAAGTATTAACAAAATTTTATATATAAACTAAATATAGATGATAAAATATTCATGATTTTGAGAATTTTGAGTGTATGAATTGTAATTGTAATGGGATGAATGTTAAAAAATACAAAATAATATTTATTACTTAACTTAATTAATTACAAAGTAATTACCAGCAGGCTTAAGATATACTTCAAATTTAAAATTATTTTTTGAATGATAAAATCGTTTTACTGATGATAGTTACGCATTCCACTAGCTGTTCTTCAGTCAGAGTTAAGGGTGGTGCAAGCCTTATGATGTCGCCATGAGTTGGTTTTGCTAATAAACCATTATCACGCAATTTTAAACACACCTCCCATGCATCCAGATCTGTGAAAAGGTTCAATTAAACTCAATTAATATTATATGGAATTGTCACCAATAATAAATTGAATTGTTCAATTAAATAATTATATATTAAATAATTATTTTCCTAACACTCAATTATTGATAATTTTTGACGTACTAATTATTTTCATAGTCTAATTTATTTATTATAATTATAACCCAATATTGAGATGAACAAAATAAATTAAGAAATCTATAACAATACAACTAAAAAAAGTTTTTGAAATATAAATTGTTGATCATTTTCTTTTAAAATTATTTTATAAATGAGTAAGTTGTCACCTTTATTAATAACAATAGCATTCATCAATCCTTTGCCACGAACAGTTGTTACAACCTCTTTTGGTAGGCTATTAAGTTCTCGGCGTAGTACAGCTCCTAAACGCTCTGCATTTTCTGCTAGTTTTTCATCTTGTAGAACCTGCAGAGCAGCAATAGCCACTCTGCATGCCAAGGGATTACCACCATAAGTTGAACCATGCTCGCCTGGTTGAATGCAGAGCATAATTGGATCATCAGCCAGAACAGCGGAAACTGGATACACGCCACCGCTTAACGCTTTACCTATCGATCAATATAAATATAATCAAAAACAAATTATTTAACTATGCATATAAATGATGATTTACCTAGAACTATAATATCAGGTCTTACACCCTCGTGATCAACAGCCAACATACGTCCTGTACGGCATAATCCAGTTTGCACTTCATCTGCAATCCATAAAACATTATATTTGGTACACAAATCACGTACTCTGCGTAAATAATCATCGTCTGGTACAACTACACCTGCTTCGCCTTGAATTGGTTCAACCATGAAGGCGCAAACACACGGATCTTGTAAGGCTTTCTGAAAAGCAATCAATGGAATAAATGATCATATATTTCGATTTGATACAATACAATCGATAACTAGTTTAAAGTGGCATTTTGCCCCAAGGCAAGTTGCAAAAACTTCCCGATAGTTGTAATAATTGTCTTAATCAATCGAAATTGGGATTTAGATATTTAGATAAAATCTTCAACTGTTAATTTCCAATATCAAGTTTTCACTTTCAATTAATTTTTATTCATTGCGATTTCCTAAAATTGCAGCCTATTCTAAATTTTAATTAATTTATATAATGCAATGAATTTTCGTAAGACTGTTAGGTACATAAAAAATCATCACCATTGCTGGTTCACTAGTACTTGAAATAGTAAATATATAAACATAAAAAAATAATAACCTCTAATGCATTAATATCATTGTAAGGTACAAGCTCGAATCCTGGCATATAAGGTCCAAATCCGGCATAACTCGATGGATCATTTGAAGCAGATATAGCGGCAAGCGTTCTACCCCAAAAGTTTCCTTCGGCGAATATAATCTTAGCTTTGTTTTCTGGAATTTTTTTCACTTTGTATCCCCATTTACGAGCCAATTTGCAAGCTGTTTCGCCGCCTTCAACTCCAGTGTTCATCGGAAGTACTTTGTCATAGCCGAACAATTCTGTCACATATTGCTCGTATTCGCCCAAGACATCGGAATAAAAAGCCCTGTATGTTGATATATATATATATATATATATATATATATATTTAAGTTTAAAAGTGTGAAAGTTTTTAGAAATTTATTTAAAATCCATACGTGAAACCAAAAACAAAAAATAAATTATATGTTTGTGAGATTCGAACTCGGTTACTTTTAACTCTCTTATCTATAAATCCGAATGCAAAATGTAGGAGCAAGCGCTTTAACGAGCATAGCTATGAAGTCACATTGATAAGGAACAATATTACGCGTGGTCTATTTTTTGCAACTTTAATTTTTATAATTAAATTACTTCTCATAGGCCTATAATATTTTACAAGGTTCAGTTTGGCTATCAACTCTATCACCATGCGAAGTTTTATCAAAATCTCAGAAGAGTAAACCTGAAGGTTCCTTTATAAGTATTCATCTGTCCTATATCTTTACATTTATTTTCTTCTTTTAACCCTCTATGGGCCAATTTTTTGTTCTATGTCCAAAAAATAGGAAAATAAAAAAAACAGTTGTTATAAGCCTATATATACAAATAATCAACAAACAATTTTGTTTAAATCAATTTTTTGGTATTAATGAATTATGTAATGTCCCAGCAGCCTATAATGATTGCATTGTTGAGTATGAAAATGATATCATCTATCGCTTAGCAAAGGTCATAAGTATTGATATTATTAATATATTGTCAGCATTCTAAAATTAAGATTTATGTATACATATTATTTATTAAAATATAGAAAAATTGAACATGTGATGTGGAAGATACGCGAGCTCACAAAAGTTTAAAATCAGTTGTTCCACTGAATGACGGTCTCGATGTAGACCGAAACGTATTTTTTTTTTTCTATTTGCTGCTACTGCCCGAATTGAATTGAGTAAAATTATTCACGTGGAACAAAAAAAATAATAGACTGCCATACGTTTCATGTCCCAATTTAACAGTTAATCAGTGGATAAAAGGTATAAATTATTTGGAATGCGGAAAAAAACATCACATCCAATGAAAGATATACTTCATTATAGATTCATGTTAAAGAAAAGGTAAAATAATTACATGAATTTTAATAAGATACTAACAGTATTATTACTAGCATATATACATATATCTAAATCATATCTGAATTAAATTTTCATACCTCGATGTCAAAGTTAGATTTTGGGCTTGTTCGGTTAAAGCCTGAATAATTTTAGGATGACAATGTCCTTGGTTTACAGCGGAGTAAGCGCTCAAAAAATCGTAGTACTGTTTACCTTCAACATCCCAAACAAAAACACCTGTTAAATAAAAAAAACGTGTTTAACGCTGAATATTGTTATTTCCAAATAAACGTTCAACTAATTTCCAAACAAACGTTCAACTAATACATTTAGAACCATAACAACTAGATGAGTGTTCTATTTTTTTTTAGTAAAATCTATAACAAATATAGTGATGATAATACAATATTTGTATTATAAAATACATGGAATATTTTAAGCACACATTCTATTCTTCATGGTGGAATTAAGCAAACATTGTGATAACGCTACATTCACAAATATGAAAACTGAAAGTATAGTATAGTAAAATAAAAATGGCTAATCTATAACTTATTTATATTAATAAGCCTTACCTTTTGCTCTGCACAAGGCAACAGGAAGCGGATGATAGTTATGGGCTCCATATTTGTCTTCAGTATCAAATACTCTCTGAGAAGCTGATTCTGTTTTCACGAGTTTTGCTTTCACCGGCGAATCGGCCAATGTTCTAGTAGCCTGCGTTGTTGTCAACGATGATTTTAAGCTTTCTGGCATTTTGCAAACAGTTACTGAAATATATTTTGAATATCAAATAATTTTAATATTTTTTTCTCGTTTTCGATTCTATACATATGCCAGAAGCAAAATTTACTTTTTGTTGCCTATATTCGTTCTGAAAGATCAAATAGATATTGCATAACGCATCACAAAATATTCCACTAACAAAATAGCATAGACAAACATACAAAATTATAAGTTACGTTATCGATAATTTCGGTTCGGATTATTTTACAACAAAAAGTTAATAGACAAAAATGGCAAGGCTGATAATTAAAAATTATTTGGTTAAAATTGTAATTGAAATGAATGAATAAAATTTGTAAACGTGAAATACATGATCACAACAAGATTGTGTAAAACGTTTAATTCAATTATTACAATTTATTTTTAGAATAATTCTTGAAAAATTGCCTTAAAATGTTTTTACAATAATTAATTAATACGAGTTAGCAAAACAATAATTTATAACATTCTTATAATTAGATTCATACGTTTTGAAAAGAACTAACTATTTCAATTTCAATATTATTTTAATTTGCAAGACATATAAACTCTCAAGCTTTGCGCAGAATTGGATCACCAATATTATAATTTATATACGCAAGTTTTTCTTCTTGTTAGTTAAAAAAAATAAATCATGACATCATTTAATAATGCATAAATTATATTGCTGACCATCTCTAATGGAAATGAACGAAAAAATTAAATTAAATTAAATTAAAGGATATATTTTATGACTATAACTTGGACATCATTAGGCTATTTAATCTATATATTTCGCATTAAAACAACCTCACTATTAAACTATTTCACGTTTTATAGAAGAGTCAAATTATAAACTACATACCATAAGCTCTGCTGAAGCGTGAAGTAAACATCCTAATGATTTACTTCTTAAATCTTGATGCCAAATTAATTTTCAACAACTTTAAGCACACAGAATACTAGGTTCTCTAAAGTTATTTCTTCACTAATTTTAAGCGACTTTTGTAGGAATAAACACAATGCTCATACACGAAATCATACAAAATAACACTGAGCCGGTTAGGTCCTTTGTATGCCTTCATGTAGTTACTCAACAGCTAAATAAATAATGCAAAACAAAAATGATTTCATAAACATAGCAAAAGAACTCGTGTACTATATAAATTGGTTTATATATAATTGGGTTTGAAAAAATGTTGATATAGACATAAATAAAATAAGATGTCAGAGTTTTCTGATGACCAAATGCTGATTAATGACAAATAAATAAAATGCGCATTCAACAAGTAATCAATAAACTTTAAAATATTTAACAACCGTACAGTTTGCTAATAAGTTCGAACGGTAGTTATCTTAATTTTATTATATAAACGATTTAACGTTATTATATCTATAATAATCATGTTTGTAAAAACATGAACATGAAAAAATTATTTACAGTAATTTTATTTTCACGTTTAGAATTATCACTTAAATTCGATATTTTACGCTGATTAAAACTCAAATGGAAAAAATAATTTTCAACATTAAATTAGTGGTGAATAAAAAAGCAAATATAATTTCCAATATAAATAATGTTTCATATTTTTATTTGTTAAATGAAAATACATATTTAATTAATTCTCATCGCTAGCAACACAAGTGAAAACTACAAGAGTTCTTTTAATTAATGCATAAGATGTAAGTATTTAAATAAAATGTTTATGTTAAACTATTAGTTTTTATACAAAATGCAGACATAACAAAACAATGTCACTAAATAGGGACAAACTAATATGTTTTGAGGAAAAAATAAGAACTTAAACCAACACCGCAAAGTAATTACACCAAATTACTAACAAAATAGATTGAAAACTTTAATAATTCACTTATGAAACAAAATAATTAAAAAGCATGCATAATTCTTATATCTCACGTACAATAAAAACAATCGTGTTTACTTGTGGTCACTTCAGAACATTTATATACTGCCACCAATATGCTATCACCAACAATTCTCAATGATTAATAAAAATTAGTAATCGTCGTAAAACAAGTTCATGAAGTTTCGAAATGGTACATAAATCTGCGCAATATCTATTTTTAAATAATAAAAAAAATCGTTTTGCGCGATCTTGACCGTTGAAAATTTCGGATGAAGGTCAAAACGTGCGATATAGAAAATTTTGAGTTCAAAATTAGATGCAATGATGATGCAATGTACAATTGATTTTATATTATAAACGAACCGTTTTGTCTTCGGATTTCAAATTGCAATACTTCTAAGTTTTTTTTTTGCAGTGTCCGAAAGGTGTTCAATGATTGTCTCCGGTTCAGAGCAGATTCGAAGTGTAATTATTATCTCACAACTGACCCGGACTGCCACGCATTACACACTATTTATAGCGCACATGAATTCATATAGATGTATGTATATGTATTATATTTTATCTGCGTACATCACAGGCGGCGAACGTGATTTCGTTTATTTCTTTGATATATGGAGGCCAAAGAAATTGGCAAAATATTTTTCGCATATTCAAATAAGAGGGGGTAATAAAAACACATCATTCATGTTTTCCTTAGCTTGAAAAATACCATTATTATTCTCAACGTAAACAAAATTATGTTTAAAGATACGATAACAATGGGAAAGTACAACACTATTGTAACCGAAAGAAATCGGTAAAAATATTGTTTTATCACCTTTCGACGGGATAGGTCAAAGGATACAAAATATGGTGCCCCCACACATAATACACTTGCCTATCTGGCGAGGCATCAACAATAATAAATTAGAAAATTTCAGCTGGTCTAGAATTTTTACAAAATCGATTTTTAGATTTTTAGATATTTTTATGTTTAACTTATCAAGAATAAGTGCACAAGAAGAATTTTCAAAATTTAAATTATTTTCGGAAATATAGCTGTTTGAGATTTCTCAACTTCTACTGATACAATTTACGTGAAAATTTTTCAGTCTTCTTTATAGACTTCACCTACGCTCATACCCCAAATCCGTTTTTATTCTATTTTTAAGAAATTCGAAAATATAAAAAAAAACGTTGGATTTTTTTCCAACTGTCGCTATTTTGAGAAAAAAAAAACTAACGATATTAATTCAAACGTTACCGATATTATTCTAATATATATATATATATATATATATATATATATATATATATTATATATATATATATATATATATATATTCTTCAAAATCGTAAGTATGGTCAGGGTCCAATTTTATGAGATCTCCCCCCCCCCCTTTATTACCTTCTAATATTAAAACTGCATGACTATTTTTAATATTATATATTTATTAGATTTGAAGCTTTATGACTATATTTAATATAGTCTGTATGTTGTTTGCTTTTTTCGGCATTTTATTAATAGCAAAAAATTTATGCCTCTAGACCAAAATACCAACATGACGTTATTCCACACTTTAATGAATAATTAGAATTAAACCACTTGTTGAAGGCCTACGATATATTAAATATAATATAACATTGTAAGTTTCATGAAAATCGTCAAAAAAAACTGTTTTTATCAGAAATTAATAAATGTGATTACCAACTAATATATAAGTAAATCAATGAAAGTTCAAATTTTGACTAACACCCACACACACACACTTTTTTTCAATTTTGCTGTCAAATTATTCAAAATGACTTAAAACGTCAAAAAAAACACAATCAGTAATTAAGATTTTGAAGGAAATAATTTCGGAAAATTAATAATGTGTGGATTTATGGCACTTCATATTAAATATCAAAACATATAACTAACCAAAAACAAAGAGTTTTAGCATTCCATGACTATTAGTTTAGATTAATAAAATTTGAGTAACAGATAGATGTTAAGACAAATAACAAATATAGTTTCATTCTATTGCAAACTTAGAATTCAAAAGTGGATCTAATGTGAATTTCATAAATCTTTAATTGCTTCATTCAAAGATAACTTTTATGCCAGATATATCTCACATTTAATATGATACTTTTTTTTGAACTACGATACCAAAATAAAATGTATCTCTAGTAAAGAAGCCGCAGCAGTATATAAACATGACATCTCGAGTTACGTAACCCGCAAAGAAACAAACTCTTAGGTCTTCATAATTGTCGTTGAACAAACAAAACTCATGTACGCAAGCAGACAAACCAAATTTAGTTATTACTCATTGTCAATAGGTTTTTTCCACACGATATAAATTAAAATCATTTTATACAGAGCTGCATTTTACAGAAAATGTGAAAAATGATTAACATTTTAAGATGAATTCCGTCGAAAATAAAGAAATGTATAAATTTAAATTTAACCAGTTTTTATATAAATAAAATTTAATCCTTTTACTGATATTAAGTGTCAAATGTGATAAATAGTGTATCTTATAGAGATAATTAATTTGCGTCACCAAATATTTTTGCAAAAATTATTTTACAGTTAAGAAACCTACTTAAAGCGATGATCTAAAGCAACAATTTATCAAATTAAAATTTCTTCTCATTGTAATGACAATCTACAAACTAATAAAATTATTTCAATAGTTCGCAAAACATATTTCAAAACTTTATACGTAATTTAATAATTTCGTATTGTTAAAATGAATACTTTTCAATCAACATATTCCAATATTATCTTTCAAAGGCCGAAGGTCATTAATGTTGAAACGATTTGCGATACAATAATGAGATGAAAACTGAATTATTAAAACTGTTATTAAAATTCGTCGTGAATAAATGTAACAATTAAATTGAATGAATAAACGAAAACAGTTTGTACCGGTTTAATAATGTATATTTAATAGAGTCATTCAGTTGGTTGCAATATAAATTTAAAATCTTATAATTGTCCCAATAGGATAGAAAAGTAACACGTTCGTCAACTTAAAATTTTTATGGAAAATTACAATGTATACGGAGATTAGATAGATGTATCACAATCATCACCAAATGATACTGTGATAATGTACTAAGATTCTAAATTGATTAGAATTTTAAAAAAATGTATCAAACAATGAAAAGATTATAGGTTCAAGAGCAAATGTATGAACTATTTATCATATAGTTAAATGCATTAATACTGAACTGTAATAAGTTATATGAAAAGTAGCAGCAAGCAATAAATGTAAAAACGAGTAAATAAAATCAAAATTGAATCCGCACCGAGTTTCGCGCGACAAAACAAGAAGCTTCATTAATATTTCTTTCGCTGAAAACATAAGTATCTTTTCAATTTTTTTTATATGACAAAGTTTTTTTCATCTTTTGTCCTTATTAATGTATATAAAACATAAAAATAAATGGATTTTGAACATCTCAAATTCAAAATTATTACTGGAATCATCTTAAATACGACGCAGGAAGTGCAGAAGAATAACATAAGTTCAATGATCAACATTATTTAGCACATCAAAACAACGGAAAATTTTCTTTGTTATACTTTAAATTATCTTGTGTAAATCACATAATAAATCATATAATATATAATAAATCAAATAACACAGAATAAAATCTTATAAAAATTATGCATTCAAGGAACTTTATTCAGCATGAACAAAGTATTTATGAAAAAATTTAAAAAAAAAATCTTGATATAAACTTAATTGCAGCAAGTGTAAAATGCCAAAAAAGTTTATTTATATCCAAATGCAATAAATCATGAACACTCACCCTTCAATACCGATGAATGTTTTACAAATCAGCATTCACCAAACAAATTTGTAGATTCCTTACAAATTGAACTACTCAGCGGTCAGGCGAAAGCCTATTAAATTTAAATTTAAAAGGAATTGTGCATAGTATTCATAAATAATAATTATATATTACCTACCATATTAATTTTAATTTTTTATAATGTTATTTGTGATTAAGATTGTTATAAAGCTGAAAAAATCAGTAATCCATCCAAATCAGAAGAAGAGGGTTGTCCACATTAACATTTGATTACATGATTTTATATCAACATATCCAATTTTCGTAAATACATTTCACCAGTTCACCAAATCATAATACAAGATTTGTAGATTCCTTACATATTGAACTACTCAGCAGTCAGCCAAATACCTATCAAATTATAATTTAGGAAAAATTGTGCATAATATTCAAAAATTATATATTACCTATTATATTGGTTTTGATTTTTTTATTGTTACCGTTTGTGATTAACATTATCATAAAATTGAAAAAATCAGTAAATCCATACAAACCGCAGAAGAAAGTTGTCCACATTAACATTTGATTACTTACTTTTATATTAATATATCCAATTTTTGTAAATAAATTGGATTGCCGTAAATTTCTACAAGGCCATGAAAGCAATGAAAAGTCAATGGTACTGCCTGTAAAAAAAATTACTGAGAAAACAAATTTTCCAAACCATAAATTTTTTATTGATTTTACTATTTTCCATTGAAAAATTATTCACACTATCTGCACACACTGTATACAGATTAGAAGTATGTATAAATCTAATACTTTTTTGTACAAAATTGTGTCCCAAGTTAGTATCTGAGACACTGGCAGCTAACTATGCTTGAATATTAATGGCTTTGAATACGTTCCAAACAAGAGGCGATGAGCTCACACAAAAATTACACTCCCTGACAGACTACTCGATGACTGTGGTCTCTTCCTTGATCAAGAATTCTACTACTTCCTCTTCAACATTTGTAGAGTCAGACTCTAAACTATCAGTATCCACATCTAAAAAATAATAGTTTACTGTAGTAACTATACTGAGATCGGAATATAAAATACATAGAGAATAAAGTAATTGTATATTGTATAACTTACGGTTCCGCAGTTCAAGGCGACGTGCGCGTTGTTCTGCCCATTCTGCTTGTTTCTTTTGTCTGAATTCATTGAATTGTTTCATGAGAGCAGACCTCTTCTCAATCAATTCCTTAGATGCTTTACTCATACGCATTCTATCTTTGCTCTCAAATTGTGAAGAATATTTCTTCAGATTCTTTTTAATGTCTGATTGTTCCTTCGCTGAGAGTAATGTGGGCGGCCTAGGCCTCCACAAGAAATGACGAAACTTTTCAAGATTCACACGCTTCAAAATACGACCCTAAAAACATATTACAATAAAATGTTTGACATTACTTTTTAGACATAAATTCTATAGATACCTGGAAAGTCCAAATCCAATAACCTGTGTCATGTTTAACTTTCCAACCGGAGACACCAGTTGTGATATATCGACCTTAAATATTAAAAGAAATCATGAATTAGATTTTATATATTTGCATCATCAGATAAAAATAGTAATTTACCTGTAGGATCCCATTCGACATCTGTGGCCTGATAATGGTCTGTACTATTCATAATTACAAAATCATGCGAATCTACAAATTCTAAGGCACCACCCATGCCAACTTGACCAAGTTGATCTACCAATTGTACTAAAACAATAAATCTTCCCATAGGAGACCAGAACATATGTGTAAATGGTTTCTTCTCAAATTTTCTCAACAATGTGGGTGCTTGACCAGTTTTGGCTTCATAAAAACTTATACTAGAAATTGCAGGTTCTCCATGAATTATGGCAAACTTAGAGCCTACGGGTTCCCATGCAAAAGCATGAATAGATTCTTTTATTTCTACTGAATCCACTGGGATTTGTTTTTCCCGCATGTGAAATATTTCAAAATTATAATACATTCCAGAATATTTGACCTCACCCCCAATCACTTCATTTTTTTCTTTGCGCAATTTTGCATACCGATCAACCTTCACGCAAAGATAATCACCGCTCTTCTGCCAATGTATTTTACAATCAGCAACATTGAAAAGGTTTTTATTACGGATTTCTGTGCGGTTTGGTATTTCTAATAATGTTACACGAGCAGGAACATTTTTATCTTCAGCTACCCAATAAGCTAAAACATTATCTGTTGGTGACCACTGAAAATCACGAATTCCAGGTACTTTCACTGATTTTTTATCTAATAAACCAAATGATGGAGTTTCATAAATTGACAATATATCATTTCCCATTCGAGCCAAGTATTTATCATCCTTTGACCAGCGGAAAATTGGCCATACTCTTGGGCCTTCTGGTAAAAATGATCTCATTTCTTGTCCAGTTCTAATATCCCAAATAATAATTTTTGGTTCATCCATCATTCCACTGTAAGTAACTAGATAATTTTCACAAGGACTAAAATCAATAAAACGAGCACCTGGATGAGGAAATCTAGCAATGCGGGTGAAATTTGGACCACCCCATAATCCAACTCCAGGTTTGTGAAAAGTAACTAGATATGTGCCTAAAGGTGACCATTTAACATATTCATCAGTAAAATTCTAAAAAAAAATTTAATTATACATTAATATATTGCTTTTAGGTTAAATCACCATATAAATTGCAAATAAAATTGTAAACTACTTACATTTCTGTTTTCCAGTTCAGTGGGATCAGGCTGTGAATTTTGCCAAATTTGTACTTGCATACCCATTTCAGAACTGCACACAACTGAAAACTGATCATATGCATCATTGTCTAACAAAAACGAATGCAGGTCAGTTTGTACTTTATAGGGCAAAGGGGTTGGTGGCTCCCATTCATCAGGAATATTAGCATATCTGCAATATAACCACCACATTGCTTATAACTAATGTTATGTGAGTAATTATTCCATATAGTTCAAGTTCACATAAATCAATATTAAATTAAAATCTGTCACTTACTTTTCAAAATCAGTAAACAAATTAACTTGCAATGTGTGCGCTTTGTCAAGCTTGTAATTATTAGCAAAACCAACAGCAGCTTTAGCCTCTTCGGCATTGGCATATTCAAGAAATATATAGCCTTTCGTTGACCCATTTTCATTTTTTGGGTAGTATTCGTTCACAATCGTACCTAAATATAACAATTTTGGTATTATTTAATGTAGACGCTGATAAGAAAATATATCTAAACAATTACCTCCAAATCTGCTGAAAATTTTGTTTATGACCACCTGTAGTTTTTCTAGACGTTCCGGCTCAACCTTTGGAACGCCGTCCACTACAATCACATTTTCGACACCATCGGATTCACGGGGTTTGAGCTTCAATATATCGGGCATCAAATCTAAGGATCAACAAAATCGGGCGTAACCAAAATGATAGGCATTGAACATATAGGTTATGACAATTTAACAAGTGCAGAAGTAACTAATTGCGTACTTATAGAAAGTTGTAAACTATGCACATTAGTTATTTAAGAAGGGATACATTTCATTTGTACATTATTATTGCTTAGTTTCGGCGAAATTTGAACTTGTTCTAAATGTATCTAATGCACGCCGACAGCATATTGCTGCATCATTCGTCACTTACCCTCATCGTCTATGTCGTCCACAAAACCTTCGGGATCATCAAAGTCGGGTTCATCTTCATTTGCAACATCTACTATATCATTTTTATTATCACTATTTTGTGTAATTTTCTCATCTTTCTTTCTCGCCATCTTGCTAGGGACGTGTGAAACCGGAAAGGTCAACTCTCCGACGCCATATGCTATGTCAGAGCCACGAGTCAGTGTCACAGTTTGTTCTATTGGCTGCATTGTATATCCAAATGTACGAAATTTAAAAATATAAATATGTAACTTTGTCTTTTTGATATATATATATCTTTTGTATATAATTTTTTTGTTTTGTATATATAATTTTGTAAATGTAATTAGCTTGTATATATATATATAATTTATATTATTAACATAACAAATTTGAATTATAAAAATTTCTAGCACATATTTATAAAGTGATCAAAAGCAAATCAGATCTTAGCTGTTTAATCTGTGTATCATTTTCACGTTACAAATATAACTTTCAAATAATTTTTCTTCTCATATAAAATGTTGGCTCTTCATGTTGCTATAAATTGAAATATGTATATTAGGATCAATAAGGGGAACTTTTTTTCAATATTCTCAATATATAAAAAATATTCTTGCAGAACATGTAGTTCAAAATTAGATTTTATTTATATACATCACATTCTATCAATTAAATTATTCTTTCTTAATATAAGCTGACATCTTTTCATCATATTTTTCTTTAGATATTTCATATCTTTCAATGTAGATCTGGAAAGTAAAGTTTTCTATTATACAAAGTCAACATAAAAATAAATGAATGAATATTCAATGGAATCTGCTCTAACCTGCTTTTCATCCGGTGGAAGATTTCTCCACAATAGTGCTAAATGTCTAGTAAGTTCTTGTTTATTTGGTTCATTTTGACTAAATGCAGCAAGCTTTTGCATGGCTATAGGTCTTTGTTCTTGGCAGAATAGGAAGAATGCATTAGGTGGTCGCTTTGGTGCATTTGGATCTTTATCCTGTTGTAAAATAATCAAAAATATTACTTAACAATTAACTTATAAAATTTGTCTTGTTTATACCTTTTCTGTTTTAATCTTTTTTCTGGTTCCTGTCTTCTTTTTTGAATTGGATTTATTATTGCTCTTGGAAAGCTTATCATTCTTCTCTCTTTTTATTTCTCGTTTAATAATAAGATCATCAGGCTTTAGATCTACTTCATCTTCAGCAGTTCTCCATTCATCACCATGTTTATCGAGTTCTCTCATTAATAATTTAACATCTCTTTTGTAACATTTTGTCATCTTTTTTATTTTTTGTATTCTTGTATCATGAACAAAACAAAATTAATTTATATATATATATATATATATATATATATATATAATAATGATAAATATAAATTTCCTACCTATGAACTATTCTTTCATTATCTTGTTGTATAATTTCGCAACGTTCAAGCAACAATTGATATTTCTTCCTGTACTGCCTCATTTCTGGAGTTAAATCGACGTCCATGTCAATATGGGAATCATCAGAAAGATTAGGATTACTACTCGATCTCATAACCATTGTTAAAAAAAATATTTTCTGTGCGATAACAATAAATATAAATAATAATTTGTGTTATCTTTCAAACATTCCCATTACCAAAACAAATTACAAGTGACAGCTCGCAGATATCGGTCATCTGCGAGCTGTCAAGTTGACTTTTGATTTAACACGATAACCAACAAAAAAATGTATGCGGACTCAAAAGCGGGAGTTCAAAATATCTAAAGAATGTTTAAGCTCCAAAATATACGACAGATCGAACAATTTCTGCTTGTTTAGTGATTTATAATATTAATTTGTCTTTACTTACTTGGTTAACACTATAGAGTCTATAGTCTATAGTATAGACTATACCGATTTTATAAAACTAATATAATTTTAAATTATAAATGAATTTGTTTCACATGAAAACCATATATCTGTAAACCAAAAATGCGAGCTACATAATATTTTTTATTATGACAGTAAGGTGGTTACAATTAAAAGATAATTATTCTAATATTTACAGTTTGTTTTCTTCTGTTGATAAATATAACTTAAGTAAATAAAATTTACAGCCATTTATATTAGTTTTGAATGTGGTATATCTATTTAGTACATACTGATTCATTAACAATATTACTAATACAGAACAAAAACTTAAAACTCCTTTAATAAATCTTGTAAGATGTACTTGGTTTATTTAATATGGAAATTAACGCCGATATATCTTAATTAAATTCAATAATTTATTATTTTTCAAGAACTACACGATCTTAGTTTAACGATCTTGCATAATATATATATAATTTACAACAAATGACTATATGTAAAATCATTTTATAAATACATCTAATTGCAAATACTAAATATAAATTAATTTGCTTTTTGATGAAAATATAATTATTTCAGTCTTTAATAATCATTTAATTAAATCAAGACAGTATTTAAACTTATACCTTTATTAATGTGATACATTAACGTTTTTGTTCACGGTGTTTTAATAAAATAGATATAAAAAACAATAAACACAAAGTTTTTTGAAATAAATTTTACGGAAGCTCATCATATAGAATTCTAAAACCTTTGACACAATAATTTAATAATGCAATATATCCTAAACACCAAACTTAATAAATACATTTCGAACACTGGATGTATGTATGCATCTAAAGACACCATAAAAAATTGTTCAGAAATGATGATATTTATTTATTATTCATTATTTCTTTTCCGTAAGCGTTTAATAACAATTTAAGTAATAAAGTTTTGTAGACATTAAGATAAATAATAAATTACCATAATTTAGAGAGATTTATATAGAAGTAATTTTATATTTACATATACATAATTTGCAAATATTTGAAACAGTATTCAGAACACCAAAATCGCATTCAGTGATTGAAGTCCCGGAAATATGATTTGAAATTTAAGCAAGTGCTTTTAAAATTAAAATTACCTAATCATAAGCAGGGAATTTTATAAAATCAATAAAGGATTGCCTATATAGCTGAAGAATTAATTTAACATATACAGAAATTCTCTTTAACTTTCGTTATTATTCATCCAATGACTAAATGTAGAACAATCTTATAATATACTATGTACAAACATTGAAGTAAAAGTATATGCATTTTTTAAAAGCTTAGTCATGGAATATATGCTAACAATAATGATATTTGCCTATTTTAACTTTGTATTTAAACATTTTGTGAATTAAATTACTTAGCATATATCACACAGTCACAATTTTAGGAAAAATTATTGGGTCCCCGATAAATCTATTTTACAACAGAAACTAAACCAAGTTACAAGAAACAAATTGATTTCTTATAAAACATAATATAAAAACAAACAAAATTAATAACAACAAAAGTTTTTGTTCTCTAATGACAAAGACATTTCTTAATAAATCGACGTAGGTACGATTCAGATGTGATTTTTTTATTAATAGTAGGAGACATATTTACTATGAACTATTTTGAATTTCAAATATTGCACGAATATTATATAAATCTTAGCTTCTAGAAAATGAGTTAGTCATGATCACATTAATCATATTATTTGTAACAAGATTTTATGCTTATCCTGCTTCACACTATTCTTGAAGTCTAAGATCATTTGTAAGTCCTCCTTATAATTTTATCTTCATTTAAAAACAAAATTGAGATCCATCTTGTTAAGTCGCTTAGACTTGTACTGTTTGGAACCAAACAGAAAGAAAATTTTAGATTATCACTACATTCTTCATAATCATGTCTCCTACTAACTTAACTTTCTTCTTCACATGCTATATATTACCTATCACTTTTAACATCTTATTTCTGAATTATGTGAAAAAACTGATTCAGCAATCGACGTCCATGGCGTCAGAATCCATGTTAAAATCGTAGGGGTCGAAATCTGGTACTTGTTGATCTGAGTTATTCCTCGAGAATTGGATTTCCTGGCGTTCTTCATTTATTAACCATGGATGGTGAAGAACATCTTCAGCACTGAGCCGATCGCAGGGAGATCTCTGAAGGAGCGACCTGACCAGGCAACGAGCCTTAGCGCTGAGGCAGTCTGGTATCACAAAGACCCCGCGGGTTATTTTTGCAAATAACGACGCATGTTCTGAATCGTTAAACGGATATCTGCAAATAAAAGAAAAAAAGTTAGTGAATACAACAATACATACTTTCCCACTAAGCCAAATACGTATATTTTGTAATTTTTTACGCAAAAAAGTTACATACTTATGTCATTTTTACGTAAGATTAATGTAATATGTGTCATAATTTCGCCTATTTTAAGTAATGTGCATTACGTAATATGGGATTACGAAAATATTTCATATAATTACGTAATTTTTGAAAAAAAAAATGACGTTGAGGGGGGCCCTTTTTTACACACATACATAAATACACACAGCATATCTGTATATATGAACAACACACATACACACATATGTGTATATATGACACACACATTCATGAACATAGAAATGAGTATACACACAGTATGTACATACTATATATATATATGTATGTACACACACGCATACATATAAACACACACACACGTATATATATATATATATATATATAATATATATACATATTATATACACTATCTGAAAAATGAAAGAAAAAGCACATTATATGGCATGTTTATTTTTTTTGGCATATATACATAATTTTAACATTAGAAAATCCATAAAGTAATAAATAATAATTCACAATTTTTATAAAATAATGTAATTACATATGACATATTGATCAACATTTTCATGGCAAATGCAAAAATATACAATATGATAAATGATAAGTAAGAGAAATGCTAATTTTAAATTACTCGAAATAAAAATCATCGAAGTATCCTTTACAAAGTCTTCATAAGTTCTTTCACTAACTTTTTCATGGAAAATATTATGTAATTAGGAACTGTATCTTCTGTTAAAACTAATGTGGTATAAGTCTATGATGTCTTTTCTACGAGTACAAAGCATTCTCGATATCTATTCCATGGCCCATTTGTGATGAAAAAATGCATCTCGGATATAAATTATTAGCTTTCGATTTTCACCTGAAATAAAAAACTGGTAATAATTTCTATTTACTTTTGATACATATATTTTTTATATACTTACACAAAGCAATGGTTTTCAAAAGGCCAAGTGATTCTGTTATATATAATTTGTCACTGAATTTATATTGACAATAAATAGTATTTAGAATATGAATACCGTTACATTTGAAAAAAGTTCTTTATATATCTAATTATTATTAGAAAAACTTTAATAACTCACGATAATTTTTAGGTTAATGGAGCGTTTAGAGTAAGATTTAAGTAATTCATGTAATTTAAGAGGCTTTAGAATACATTTATAATAAACATATATTTCACATATTTAATATCACTTTCACTTTTATTAGCAAATTAAATATATTAATAAGACACTACAAAACAAAAAAACTTAATTTAAAACGCATGGCAATCGTACTCCCATAATCTTTGCCGAATTGCCGGCGGCCTCGGCACGGCAGTCTCCTTGCAGACATAACGGTACTTATGTCACTTAGCGCCGTTCATTGGTCGACAGCTTCGCTCATGAACGAAATATTCCGAAAATTCGCGAGCCATTTTTATTTCGTCTCTCTGCAGTTTAATGCAGTACGATTACTTTGAAAAAAGTTTGGAATTTTCAAAATATTTCAAAATAAAGCAATTATTTTATTTCAAAAAAATCTTTTTTAAAAAAGGTAATTTTTTGTCAAAGTTTTATTTATTCTCAAAAATTTAATTTTTCAAAGTAAAATTTTTTCAAAAATGTTAATCTTTTTAAAACAAAATATTATTAGTACGGGAAGTTCCAACAATTTGCCTAAAGGCACGATGCCATGCGCACCACTAGTTATGTTAATATAAATGAAATAAATTCTTCATTTTTCTTACCTAATATTTTTTTCAGGAAAATTACGTAATATTTATGTAATTCTTTCGTAATATCTAATTACGTAATGTAAATTACATATTTCTTACATAAAAATTACGTAATATTACGTAACTGGTTTAGTGGGTTGTTCTTAAATTATAAATATATATATATATTATATATATATATATATATATATATATATGATTTAGTAGTTACACACCACACACACACATATATATATATATATTAATTGTTTAATATGAACAAAACAGCACTCAGATTTGTTTAACACACTTTATTTATGATTACAGACGTTTCGAGACCATGGTGTGTCTCATCTTCAGTGTAATTTCAAAAACAGTTACTTAATACTACACATTCTTTAATAATTTATTTAAATTTCATTTAATTTTTGATATACAAAAAACACCAACTATTCTTGCAATGCTTGACACAGTACTGATAGAGTAGAGTACTGTGTCAAGCATTGCAAGGAATAGTTGGTGTTTTTTAAAACAGCACTCAGATTTGTTTTAACACAACTTATTTTATGATTACAGACGTTCGAGACCATGGTGTGTCTCATCTTCAGTGTAATTTCAAAAACAGTTACTTATATACTACACATTCTTAATAATTTATTTAAATTTCATTTAATTTTTGATATACAAAAAACACCACAACTATTCCTTGCAATGCTTGAC